CTGTTGCTTTTGTTTGCTGTTTTAGGGTGGTACCTGTTTGGTTCTTTTTTTATGTTTGTATACTTACTGTTTTTAGCTTTTAAACATTGTCTTCTAATGACATAAAGCCACGGCGGGTAATTTTTTTAAAGGAGAAAGGTAGGGTAAACCTATTTTAAATCAATAAAGTAGTATAAAATACAGGCCCCAGAATTCTCTCTGGGAACTGCAACTCCAAAGAAGTAACTTTTCCCTTCCCTCTGTGGTCCCTGGCCCCTCCCAAAAAACATTTAATTGAGAGTGTCAGGAGGAAGACCGCGGGTTTGCAGAAGACGTGGCCGGCCACTGAGTGACAATGGATTTTTTAAAAAAATCTCCCCCATTCCAGGTGCTGTTCCATGACCCCATGTTCACTATGGGGCAGGTCCTGATGCGAATGCCTGTGGGGAAGCCGGACCAGATCTTGTTCCGCTGTGTCCAGAGCATGCCATCCGACCCAGAGAAGGCGTACAACAGTTGCTACAGCGGAGGTGAGGGGAGCCATTCTGCACGACTCTGTTTTGGGGGGAGCAACCATGAGAACAGAGAGCCGGGACGCCTGAGTTCCTTCAGAAGAAAACGGGGCCCCGTGGGTTTGGAAGTGGGCAGGCAAGATGTCAGAAACAACCGCCAGGTGGCTGTCTTGTACAGTTGTGAACAGTTTTAAGACCGGGCATGCTGGGCTCAGCGATATGACAACTGAGAGGGAACATGTAAATTGTTGAAGTAGCAATTGTCAGAATATGAGCCAACCGCCAACTGAGAGGGAACATGTAAATTGTTGAAATAGCAATTGTCGGAATATGAGCCAACCATGTAACGCGGTCGCAAAAAAGGCCAATGCGATTTTAGTCTGTATTAGCAGTTGGTTGCAAAAAAGGCCAATGCGATTTTAGCCTGTATTAACAGATGTGCAGTCTCCAGTTCCCACAAGGTGTTGGTCCCCCTCTGTTTTCCACTGGTTGGGCCTCCTCTTGAGTCCTGTGTCCAGTTCTGGACACCACACTTTAAAGAAGGATGTCAAAAAAGTGGAAAAAGTTCAGAGGAGGATGAGAAGTAGGATCTGCTTTGACCCAGATTCCTGCCTTAAGCAGGGGGTGGGACTGGATGGCCTTAGAGGCCCTTCCGAACTGGGTTATTCTGTGATTCTGTCCTCTTTCTTTCTCTCAAACTTTCCTGCTGGTAAAAAAAACAAACTATCTTCCTCATTCTGGGACACAACTTCACCTGTTGAACCTCAGCAAGTCAGTCAGCTCTTAGACGGTATGAGCAGGACAGGGGGGGGGGAAGTGGCCACTCTCATCTATATACACCCTATGTTTTAGGATACTTAACGACTAAACAACAACAACAATGAATATCTGTCAAATGCAAATGTGGGTGATATCATTTATTCAACCATTAAAAGCTGATCAGGTATCTATTGAGTGAGACAATTCAGAAGCACCTTTCCTCCACCGTACGAAGGAAAGCGCAGTTCTCGCATGAGTTAATTTTTTTTACTACAAGTCCCAGAATCCACATCTAGCTGGTTGGGGATTGTGGGGATTGTAATGCTAAAAGGGGTCATTTTTTCCCCACCTCTAAGCTCCGGGTTGGGGATCTGGAGAGCGCCCACCGGGAGATCCGAAAGGAGCATAACAGATGGTCGTTAGAATTGGAAACAGCAAAAATCAGCCTTGTCAGGTTTTCTGATAGACGTTTTAAAAAAGGAGAGAGGAAGGAACTTTCCTCGCTGTCAGCATGTAATGGGCACATGCTGGAAGATATAGGAACGTCGTAGAGTGTGGTTACACTGCGAAAATTCCTCATAAGACAGATCGGGGGGGGGGTTGAAACTGTTTGGAAGTCACATAGTAGTCACATGGTTTTTGTGCTGGTGTATGCATCTTTTCTGGAAAATGTTAAATCTGTTTTAAAAACTGTGTTGTATCTTGGTGGAGGGGGTGGCCCAACATGGGCTTTTAGAATCATCCCATTTGAGGATTTGCTCTGCATTGCATCGCCACTCCCTCTTGCTGTTGTGGGGTTCTTTTTAATTCTTTTAAATTTTCTTCCCAAGTGGGATAGCGATAGTCTGACTTGACAGATAGGAAGGGGAAAAAAAACAGATCAGAATGCAAGTTTTCACTGGATTTCCCAACAGATTTGCATGGAGACAGTCAGAAAGACAACACACACACACAACACACATAGAGAGGAGTGGTGGTAGAGGTGAAGGCTGGGCTTTGTGGGGGAGTGCTCCCTCCTCCTCCTTCGGAAGCCTAAAAGCTCCCAATCTTGTAAATTTTTCTGGTGAGTTTCTCGTTGTGAAGGAAGGAGGGCTTTTCATCTAACCTTCTCTCTCTGCTGACTGGTAAATTTCCACTGGCTGCTGGGTCTCCCCTCTTGCAAGCCAGGCAGTGTCTCCTTCAACTCCTCCACCCCTCTGTGTGTATACGAAGCTCCGTAGAATACTTCCTTACCTCCACCACATGCTTCCCTGACTTCAGAACAAGGAATTTCCTAAGTGAAATGATCAAGCTGAATCAATCCAAGGGGATGCCTTAGAGAGTCTTCAGCCTCTGCAGCTACTACAGCCACTGGACGAAATGAACCAATATGCATAAAGGTGGACCCCCTTATCTGCTGGGGATTGGTTCCACGTCCTGGCCCCAGATACTGAAAATCGTGGTTAATAGCAAACTCTCTCTCTCTCCCCCCCCCTCTCTCTTTATACACACACACATATCATGGTAAAAAGGAAAAAACAGAAAAAATTATTCTCTAGGGCTTTCACGGCCGGGATCTGATGGTTGTTGTGGGTTTTTCAGAATCGGAGCATGGACAGATTTCCTCCTCCAGTCCTTTGAAGAAGCCTGGTGAAGCGTCAGGAAGAACAACCTTCAGAACATGGCCAAAGAGCCCGAAAAACCCACAACAACCATCAGAAATAAAAATGTTTCCACATGCAATATCAGAAATGGTCGCTAAGGGGCACCAGAGACCATACTCGGTATTCTTCACTTACAAGTGTTCCTGTTGTGGTATCTGTCTCCCTCTAGTGGCCAGTTCTGGTAATACATGTGGGAATTTTTTTTCTTTATTATTTTTCTTTTAATATTGTTAATATTTTCAGACCACGGATCAACAAAACCGTGGATACCGATCCCGCAGATACAGGGACCTCACTGCATATTTTCTTGATTCATCCATTTTGCATATTTCTCGTGACCAGGTGTGTCTGCTGCAGCAAACACAACGAAGACCTTATTGTGGCACCTTTTGACTGTGGATGTTAAAAGCAATGACCAACTCAAAACCTGTTAATCTTTAAGATGCCACAAGGCCCTTGGTTATAAATTTAAAGAGATCACAGAGTCCAACATTTTTGGGCACTGAGTCACAGAACTGCCAACTTGGAAGGGAACCTCAGGGGTCAGCTAGCATGCTGGGTTCATCATCATGGGGCCACCCAATGAACTTTCATTTCGGGGGGGGGATACTGTTGTAGGTAGAGAATCACTGCTACCTGAGATGGTTTTTAGGGCATAGACAAGTGACTGTGATGCAGTATTCCAGAAGAAGACAGGCCAGTGGCCTTCGCACACCAGGAAGCTCCTGACTTAAGCTGCGTGTTGTCTCACTGCTACCTGAGATGGTTTTTAGGGCAAGCTCCTGACTTAAGCTGCGTGTTGTTGTTTTTAAGGCGAGGTGCCGTGACCTAAGCACGCACGGCACCTTTCCAGCCTAACTCTCCCCACCTTGAATCTGGCAGGGAGGAAGGGAACACAGGACCCCGATGGTCAACCCACTGAGGTCAGCCTCTTGGAAGGATCATCTTGCACGCCCCCCCCCATGAGCCTTCACGGTTGTTAAGATCATCCAGAGAGGTGCTTCTCTTGGTTCCATCCCCCTTTCCAAGCTGCCTCGGCGAAGGGATGAGGCAGGGCCTTCTCGGTGGTGGCTCCCAGGCTTCGGATCAATCAATCAATCAATCAGAAAGGCAGGCGGGCAGTAGACTTTGAGAATTACATCTGCCCACATATTCCGTTTCACAACATTATCAGGCTGTGGGTTAGGGTGGTCCTGAAGATGGGATTGATGGGGAAATACATGGAGAATGAGGAGGGTCCTCTGTGTGGAAGTCCCCGGGGGGGGGTTTCCTCCAGCCCTTCCTCTCTGCCTAAACCCCTTTCCCCTTTCCTCCTTCAGGCATCTTCCACCTGCACCAAGGGGACCGCTTGAACCTTCGCATCCCGCGCTTCAACGCTTCTTTCGACGCCAGCGCCCACGGGACCTTTTTGGGGCTCCTCCGTCTATAGGGTCTGCCTCCTTGGCCTCCCCCCCTTCCAATCAAAGACACTTTTTTTGGGGATGGGTGGGGGAGTGTCGTAGAAGCCGTGGTGCCAGAGCACAGATGTAGATAGTTTTTTGAGACGTTGCCCTGATCTCCGGGAGAATCCTGAACTCCAGCCAGAGACGCCACTGGTGTACACGGGTTTGTGGTCGTTTGGGTTGATGATGCGCCCGAGAGAACTGGGTGGTTCTGTCCCCGGCTTCAAGGGGGGAGATGGACTCTGAGGCCCACAGGTCGCTACACCGAGGAGCTGATCCTCGTGGCAGAAAAAGGAGCATAAAGCGCTTATGCGACAGACTGGACACTAGAAGGCCCTCCACCCCTCTGTTCCTTTTTTTCAAGACAGATGAATTCCTCGCCCATGCTGGAGAGCTCGGTGGGTTGGAGCACCTGGCTGTGGAGCCTGGCGTTAGCACCCTGATTCCCCACCGAGCCTCCTGGGAAGACAGCCAGCATGTGAAGGCTCCCAGAGCATCTCCAGAAGAAATGATCGGTCAGCCACTTTGGAGGACTTTGAAGGAAAACCTGGAAAGGGTCGCCACAAAGTCGGAATCAATGCTGACAGCACCGAATTCAACCATGAGTCAGCTTTCTTCAGCTATGAGAGAGCCTCTTAATGAGGGTGAAAGAGGAGAGCGCAAAAACGGTCTGAAGCTCAACATCAAAAAATCTAAGATCATGGCCACTGGTCCCGTCACCTGCTAGCAAATAGAAGGAGAATATAGGGAGGCAGGGACAGAGTTTACTTTCCTGGGCTCCATGATCACTGCAGATGGAGACAGCAGCCACGAAATTAAAAGACACCTGCTTCTAGGGAGGAAAGCGATGACAAACCTAGACAGCATCTTAAAAATCAGAGACCTCAGCTTGCCGACAAAGGTCCACATAGTCAAAGCGATGGTTTTTCCTGTAGTGATGTATGGAAGTGAGAGCTGGACCATCAAGAAAGCAGACCGCCGAAGAATTGATGCCTTTGAATTGTGGTGCTGGAGGAGACTCTTGAGAATCCCCTGGACTGCAAGGAGAACAAACCTATCCATTCTGAAGGAAATCAACCCTGAGTGCTCACTGGAAGGACAGATCCTGAAGTTGAGGCTCCAATCCTTTGGCCATCTTATGAGAAGAGAAGACTCCCTGGAAAAGCCCCTGATGTTGGGAAAGTGTGAGGGCAAGAGGAGAAGGGGACGATAGAGGATGGGATGGCTGGACAGGGTCATCGAAGTGACCAACATGAATTTGACCCAACTCTGGGAGGCAGAGGAAGACAGGAGGGCCTGGCATGCTCTGGTCCATGGGGTCACGAAGAGTCGGACACGACTTAACGACTAAACAACAACAGAACTACTCTAAAAAGCAAGAAGAGTTTGCCCCCCTTTTTCCCCTATCACGGTTGAGTTTTCTTTCCACAGCCAGAGTGCCTTCTCTCTTGAGCATCTAAAAACCAGAAGGTATGCTGTCATCTTGCCCTAGAACAAAAATGCAGATATAGCCACGTCTGTTGGTTCAAATTTAGCTGTTACACACACTCACCTGTTCAAGGTTCCGACTGTGATGGCCGTCCTCATGCCTTTGTGCAAAAAGGCATGCTTTGCTAAAACAGACAGCGGGGCAGCTGCTTCTTCCTGGTTCAGAAATCTTTCTGTGCATTACAGCCCTGCCTCTTTGTAAAGCAGGAGGTGTTACATGCGTTGTGCGATTGTAGATCATGCTTAATGTTGCTGGGTCTCACAAGCACGCAGCTTTAAAACGAGTGTGTCCCTAGTTCAAACCATTTTAATATTTTTATTGATTCATTGTAGTCTTTCATGGACAAAGGTTTATGGGAATGATGATTGTGTTTTAAACCAGAAAAAAAAAATCTTGGTGTTCAGTTCGGTTGAAGCAAAGGAATAAATATTTAGAAACCGGGGAAACATAAAATACAGAAAGCTACATGATTTCATCATATGAATGGGAAATAAGTACCACAGGTTGTTCCAGCTGATTTTTCAAGGCTAGGCAAATGGGTAAGTAAGTGTACAAAAAAAGTAGTTTTGGACTGAAAACTGATTGAGATTAGTTTGCTTGTAATACATCATCGTTCTGAGCGGCTTCATTCAAAGTCCAAATAGCTATGAGAAAGTTCAGCTTCTGGTTAGAAACAAAAAAATTAAAATACTGTAAAGATTAACTTGAGAGGTATCCTGAACCCATCATCCATCCACGGATCGGATCCAGTCTTCCTTCTACTGAGAGCAGACACACTGAAATCAAGTTAGTCATGTCACGATCTGAAATCTCTATAAGTGATTCTGACAGCTCATTCAAAGCGGAACTCTCACTGGATTCATTTGCATGGCTTTGGCGCCGGCTCTGAGCTTGGAAAAATTACTTTTTCTGGATCGCCACCCAGCGGGGTCGACGTTCCATGCTCAGAGCCAGCTGCCTTGCAAGCGGAACGGTTCCAAAAATCCCTGTCTTGCCTTTTAAGGCTGTACGATGTATGTCACTGGGCGCTCTCATGGATTGTGATTCTTTGGGTTTTTGTAGCTACCGGCTGAAATAGACTTTAACACAACCCCCTCTTTGGAAAATCAGCCTGCAGATGGGAGAGGAGAGAGGCCTCCTCCATGCGAGATCAGAGTTACTTGCAGCACATGGGGGGGGGACAGATAAACCACAATCAAAGGGGTGAATCTTTTTTTATTTGATCTTGAGCTGCTGGAAAGAGGGGTGGCCCAAAGTAGTATATCACAGGCTGCAGGCAGAAGCCAAATTCAGCATGCATTCGCCTGGCAGAGCGAACGCCCATCCATGGGTTTTCCCCAAGCGCAGAAGGCCTGATTATTCTTAGCTAGGCTAGTTCAGGGCGCAAGGGTGGGATCCATGCCTGCTGCTCACAGGAAGCCACCTGGTGCAATTCTAGGCATGGTTACTCAGGTGCAAGGTGACCAGTGTGTTGCAAGGGGGGGTGGACTGAGTGCTTTGCAAAAAATTATTTAATTTTATTTATTTAATTAAATTGCTCAGGATTGCGGCCTGAACCCCCCCCCCCATAGCAAACAAAAGGTGCTTTGCAAACGGCTGATGCTTCGAAATCTGCAGTATTTCATCACAAGGTAGAAAAAAAAGTCTACAAAGCCCCCCCCCCCCACGTGGGGACACAGGGCGCTGGGCTGCTGGCCAGGATTTTAGCTTGGAGACCAGATCTCGCGAGAAGCAGCGGGGCGGCCGCTTTAGAGACGGTCGGGCTGTCAGCCTCTCGCGAGACTCGAGAAGCCCTGGGGGGGAGCGCCCTCTGTGACCCGAGGAGGAACATAGAGATAGGAAAATGTAGAGCAGTGATGCGTCTTGCTTGTCTCAGGAACTTTCTGGATTCGCCTTATTTTAAGGGTTCCCAACCTTGGGTCACCCAGATGTTCTCGGACTGCGACTCCCAGAAATACTGGCCAGCACAGCTCATGGGGAAGGCTCCTGGGAGTTGTAGTCCAAGAACATCTGGGTTAACCAAGGTTGTGAACGACTGGCCTACCAGTTGGATTCCTCAAAGTCAGTGGTTCCCGCCAACCTTGGGTAACCCAGATGTTCTTGGACTGCAACTCCCAGAAGCCTTCACCATGAGCTGCGCTGGCCAGGATTTCTGGGAGTCGCAGTCCAAGAGCATCTCAGTGACCCAGGGTTAAAAACCACTGCTTTTAAACTCTGTTCACATTTCCACCACCCCCCCTTTGCTGGTGTGTGAAGATATAAGACAGCTGTGCCCACCAATCAATCAATGAATCAGTCAATGAATGAATGAATGAATGAATCAATCAATCAATCAATCAATCAATCAATCAATCAATCAATCAATCAATGTGGCTTAATTCACTCAGCCAGGGGTTAATAGGTGGAACAAGAAAGGAAATCTGACCACCCACCCTTTGATCACATTCTCACAGTCTTAAAGGAAACTTCTACAACGCATGAAAGCGAGACCCACTTAACACACACACTGGCTTCTCTATTTTATATTTTATGTCTCATTGTTTTGTTGAGCGTAAAACCACCCAGATTGGCTTTGTAGCCAGATGGGCGGTATAGAAGTGGAACAAACAAATGAGTAAATAAACAAATTCTAAAACCGTCATCAGGAAATGTTTATTTCACATCATTCCAGATTTAGGTGGGGGAAAAGCACACCGAATCCGTGCCCCAACCTGGGAAAGAAGGGCAGGCATTTTGAGACAGAACATTAGGATTTCTCTTGCCAGTCAGGGGAAATGTTCAGTCTAGGATGTTGGAGTCAGGGGCAGGAGAAGAGGGAAAGGAAGGAATCAGGACCCCGGAGTTCCTGAGATGCGTTCCAGGACGCATCAAGAGGAAATTAGGGGCTAGAGATTCAGGGAAAGAGGGCGCAGAAAGTTGGGAAAGGGGATAAACTAAGATCCTCGGAGTTGCTGAAGCCAGCCACTGTTGCCATCTCTGTTGGCTGCTATTTTCTCATGTACTCCGCCAACTTCCGCACGTGCTCCCCCTCATAGTGGCACAGTTCCCAGTGGTCACAGGCTGTGACGTTCACAGCCCCCCGCTTGGTGAAGAAATCCAAGGCTGGCTGGTTCCATTTGGTCGAGATGAACCGGAACTGGGAGCATCCTTTCTCCAGGGCAATCTGTGGTGAGAGAGGAAGGCGGGTGACTTGAGTTAAACTAAACCCTCTGCCCTAATTCAGTTCGGGGGGGGGCTGCACGTATACACTACTGGCAGGGGAAGGTGGGTATGGGAGACAGCTGGCCCCAGGGTTTTCCAGGATTAGAGCTTGTAAAAGTTCCTTTCTGGATTACAGCTCCCAGAATCCCCCAGCCTGAAAAGAATATGAATTTTTCTAAGCTCTGCCCCCTTCTTCCAACCAACTCACCTTGGCTGCTTTATTCAGCAAACTCGTACCAACACCTTTACCTGTCCATTGAAACAGAAAAAAGGACAATTTGATCGCAAATCACCTTTTACTATTAACTTTTAGTTTGGCATAAAATGGGATATTTGGCCACTCCAAAGAAAGCCTAGTAGTTTAGCTGGTTAAATTAAATACTTTTTTTTTAAACACTCGCTTCAGGACATCACGAAAATGCAATTCAGTTATTAACAGGCTTGATTTCATATTTATCCCACAAATTATTTTGTGTGCTTGTGCAAAACAATAAACTACTTTTTTTTCTAGATTGATTAATTATCGGCACTTCTAACTTTTTTTGTGTGTGTGTAATTTCGCTTGCTGTCTTTAGTAGGTTTGCCTGAAAAGGACCTTTCTGGGTTAGGGTCACTATCAATCTATCCAGCATTGACCAATCATTCCTTCCTTGCCTTGGAATTCAAAGAGAGTCCCGCCTCTCTGCTCTGTGTCTCTTTTCCCTCTCTAGAGTCTGTGGAAGTCTGTGGTTGAAAGCAGTCGCGTTTGTCAGTTCACAACTGTCAGTAGAGAAAGTGGTTTAATGAGACATTAGTAGTATAAATGTCTCAGATTGAATGACTGAGGCTGTAAGTGCCAGTTAATGAGAAAGGGGTGGAATTTGGGGAACGTGAATCTATTCAGCTCTGTGAACCCCTGCCCTTCTGCTGCAGAGATAGAAGAATTTAACCAAAAATTCAAAATCCTGCCACATGAACAGTGTTAGGGAAGGCATCTAAAAATGTGAACCATTCAGCAAAGCTTGGAAACATTTTTAGAGTATAACTCTCAGAATCTCTAAACCAGCCCAAGCCTTACACAGGGCTTATATTATTTATAAAGTTCCCACAAGGGAAAGATTGATGGGGTGCCTTCAGACATTAGGAGGAAAATGGGGAAGTTTATTGCTTCCAGTCTCCTCCAATAGCTATGTTGGCTGGGGGATTCTGGAAGTTGTAGTCCAAAAAATAATAATAAAAAGGGGGGGTACCCTTTCCAAGTTAGAAGTGTGAATAGCTCAGGGTTTGTTTCTCAAGAAAGCAGCTGTTTTGGAAGCTCTCGTGCTGAGAACCACCTTCCCGGCTGGGTGAGGCCATTTATCCCGCTGTCCTAACTATTGTTTTTATATTTTTAATATTTCCTGACATGAATAGGTAAAGCAATGGACAAGTAAATCAACCCTGCAGATAAGAGGGTTCTACTGCACCACCTGCTAAAACCTTGCCCATCTCTAGCTGCTCAGCTGTGTAAGAAAAGCGCTTTGCACCTGCTTAGAGGTTCCCAGGGTCCTTCATACCTCTGAAGTCTGGTGCCACGTACAGGTCTTCCCCAAAAAGAATAGGACCGTCCCAGGTACAGTACGTCAGGTAGTGGAATTGGTATCCGATAAGGGTGTGACCTGGAAAGGGAAAAGGGAAGGTGAAGAGACCAAAGGGTGAAGATGGACTGGTCTAAAAACCCTACAGTGCAGCCAGAACTACACGGTTAGAGCCGTTTGAGGCCACTCCGCTCTGGTTTCAGCTACAGAATTGGTCGTTTGAGGATGTCGTTTGGAATTTTCTGCTGCAGAGCGAGAGAGAGGTCTTGGTTCCCTTCTCTTTGGCCCTGGTTAGGCCTCATCTTGAGTGTCGTGTCCAGTTCTGGACACTGCCTTTGAAGAAGGATGCTGACAAACTGGAACCAGTCCAGAGGAAGGCAATGAGAACGATCAGAGGGCTGGAAATCAAGCCCTATAAGGAGGAAAGACAGGAAGAACTGGGCACGTTTAGCCTGGAGAAAAGAAGATGGAAGGGAGACAGGGTAGCACTTTTCAAGGACTTGAAAGGCTGTTCTACAGAGTAGGGGCAGGATCTGTCCTTCATCATCCCAGAGTGCAGGACATGTCAAAATGGACTCAAGGTACAGGAAACCAGATTCCGGCTGAATACCAGGAAAAACTTCCTAACTGTTAGAGCAGTATGACAATGGAACCCATAATCTTGGGAGGTGGTGAGCACTCCAACTCCGAAGGCATTCCAGAGAAATTTAGACAACCAATCTGCTTTGACCGGAATTCCTGCCTTGAGCAGCGGGTCAGACTCCATGGCCTTTGAGGCCCCCTTCCACCTCCATTATTCTGTCATTCTATGACTTCTAGGTACTTAAAAAGTTACAGATCCCAGGAATGATGGCTTAATTAGCATGCAGTAGTATATGCATCATTCACGTTAAGCAAAGGAACATGTTATAATTATCCAGATTTGTGGCTTGTTCTCTCAATCACCGCAGCATGATAGCGTTTTGAATCATCTGCAAGGGTACAGCTTTCCACTCCGTGAACCCACTAGGCCATGCTACCTGTCCCATCTAAAACACGGCCAGCCTCTCCTGGGCTTACCTTCTTTGCTCTTTGCCTCGGGGGGCACCTCGGCCACAACACACCCAAAAGTAGCATCCTTCTCAAAACCATCTTTTACGAAATCTACAAAGAAACCATTATGGCAGAAAATCAAAAAGGGGGGGTTTCGGGTGAAAAAAACACACTTCTCCTTCTTGGGTTGATTCACTACAGCTCCGAAATCGAAACCATGATGGGCAGGGCAGATCATATGGAAGGCAAAAGAAATAAGTGGTTCTCGGGGGTCCAAGAAGCCTGAAGATGGGATAGATAGTCCCTTGGAGGCAGAAATGGGATGACACAGGCTCACAGATCTACTTTTTTTTAAAAAAAAGGAATCCTGGTGGTCCATCAAGGTGTTTAAATAAATAATTGCATCCTAAAGCTGGCTTTATTAAACCACCAGCATCTCAAAAACAAACACGGGTTGATAGCGTGTATCAGGACTCAGCCTGATGAAGAATCCTGTTGGATGTGGAAGCTAGCCTCTGTCTGTTTTTGAGATTTTAGGCATCTAGTAAAGGTATCGCCCAACATTTGTGCAAGGACAATGCACACCTGTTTTTCTAATTCGTCTTACGTGATCTTGCATTTGCACTGCAACACCCAGAATCCCCCACCAAGCTGGCCAGGGGGAAGACATAGCCCCCCCCCCCAAGTATATTTTCTAAATTGTAATTAAAGGATCTACTAAGCACCTTTGCTGGATAAGACCTGCTCATGCCCGTGAGATCCAGCAACCAGAAACTGGTAGCTGGCACAGAAAGGACAAATCAATAGCCCGGTGGGAAACGACAAGAACTATTTTGCCACTTGGTGCTTTAAAATCTCATACGCCTCTTCAAACCAAGTGCAAGAGGAGCCTCACACTCTGAGGTCTCTTGTTCACTGCTTTCTTTTTCTGCTTTCTAGCAAATAATTCCAAGAATGGGAGGCAGAGCACAGGTTCAAATCCCCCGGTCTACTCTAGGGAAGTGTGGATAAATCAAAATGGACTCTTAGATGGTCTTGGAAGGAAATAGGGTTATTACTCCAGTTGCCCCTGTGTGTGTGTTTTTGGAGCAGCACAGTGAGTAAAAATTAAACCCATAAAGGTCTACTTTCACTGCATCTACCTGTTAGGAAAGGCTTTCCCTGTTGATTTTCTGCCTGGCCCCAGATCTTTCAGTGGCACAGAGCTTCTGGGTTGCAGGGGGGGAAGGGGAGAGAAAATAGCAGATCTCAAGAGACCGATGCTGTGCACAAGAGTTTTTGTCCTTTGAGCTGGTTGTGACCATCTCGTGGAGGCTGGTCAGATTAAAGGACAATAAATCTCTTTGCCTATAAAATGATTCGCTCTTCCTTACCTTCTGGGGTGGTTTTCACTTGGTCCAAAGCTTTGTGAAAAGCGGCGGCTTCCTGAAAGAGATTCAACGGTTGATGTGTATTATACATCCTTGAACCCAGGAGTCCTCGAGTTCCCTTCCCTAGATTTAAAGTCATTTGTCACTCCCTGCACACACCCCTAAACACACCAGTGCTGCAGGAAGGGGTGGGGGGTCAGGCCCGTTCCTTCTGCAAAAGGTGGTTTGGAAGGGTTGATGCAGGTGAGACTTTTACCTGCACAGGTATGAAGACAGAGAAGGGTACCAAAAAAAAAAAAAAAAAGGTCAGGGAGAAGGGTGTTGTGACTTCTGACAGTCAAAAGCAGAGTTTGGGCGGAAAGGGGGTCAGGAGGACTATCACGACCCTCTATCCAGCCGTAGAATATTGGACTGGTGGGATTCCCAGAGTTTGCCCACCCAGGAACACATCCAAGCTTTGATCCTTCCTGTCTATAAAACAGGCAGAGAGGAATTGGGTTGGCTTTCGGGCTACCTGCCCACCCAACCCTTTTTTGCTTTGGGGTTTTGCAACGTTCCTCTTTCTGGGACCCCCCTGCCCTCCAGTTCCTCACCCTAATTAGCCGCATGACCTCCTTCACATCCCGGACAGCCCACGGACGGATGGTGTAGATCATGGTGACTCCTGGATCCTTCCTTCCTCTCTCTCTCTCTCTCTGCTTCTACCCTGGACTCTGACCCATCGACAGAAGGTTCCCCCACTCAACCCCTGCTCTTTCCGCTTGACTACCCCAAAAAGCCGTTCCCCCACCCAGGCCAGCTCATACCCCCTTTCCAGGAGGTCTCAAAGAGGAATGGCTCAGGAGGAAAAGATTAACTACCTAGGCACAATAGGCGAGCGGGTACACGGCATCCACCCAGCCCTGTAAGTCTTTTCTTTTTTTAAAAAGGACACTTTTGGTACACTTGGAGTGGGGACTTGGACATCGAACCTGAGCATAAAAAAATAAGTCACAGGGTTTATTTCTGGTGGAAATTAACTTTTTTTTTTTAGCACAGACGTCCTCCTTCTGCAACTTGGGGGTCATTTCAGCTTTTCTTCCAAGCTCCCTGGTGTTGGGCAGAAAAAACACGAACAGCTGAAGACGTGATCATAGTTTTTCGATTTATTTATTTATTTATTGGGGACTACAACTCCCATAGCCACGCTGTGTGGGGATTCTGGGAAGGGCAGTCCCCCTCCACCCACCCACCCACGAAAAAGGTGGCTTTTCTGAGCTTTGAGCATGATCTTGATGTCTGGCGCATGAAAGACTTGGGGTGGTGGTGAGGGCTGTCTCTTAGGTTTGTCTCTTCGGTTTTTCTGCTGATCCTAGGGGGAAAAACAACCAACAACCAGCCTTTTGGCTAGGCTGCGATTGGGCCGCCACCACCTCTCACTGCAAAGACAAGCATTTGATACGGAAGAGGGGCCACTCGTGGGCGTGTTTTTAAACACTGGACGGTGTCAAGCTGCTGCGTAAAAGTCAAGGAAATGTCCAACTTGGGTAGAAAGTTGGAATTGAGATGGCAGGAGGGAGGGACTGATCTGAGCAGCCTGCCTTTGCCTTTACGACTTGAGGGGCATTCCACGGCCATAAGTTAGGGATGGTGACCTTTGCCCTTGGGGGGCTCCCTTGGGCCATGGGTACTCTCCCCCAAGACCAGTGACACCAGCCTTTTCCTTTCCTTGACCTTCCCTTTGCTGGGAGACGAAACCGTGCTCTTATCTCGAATCGGCCACAAACACAGGGATTTCCTGCTCTCATCTCCCATCAGCTCTTGGCTTGGATCACTGGCCCTGGGTTTTTTTTCCCCACTCTTATCTCCGATCGGAGATAAGAAATCAGTGATGGGAGATAAGAGTCAGAACCCCAGGGCCAGGGCCACTGACGGCACCCAATCACTCTTATCTCCGATCGGAGATAAAAAATCAGTGATGGGACTCCAGGGTCAGGGCCACTGATGGCACCTGACTTCATCTAATGTCAAGAAGAGCTAAAAGCGGATCAACCCAGGCTTGCTTTGCTTATGGGACCCATCGGGGAAGAGGGTCTCTCGGTCCGGGCAGGCTCTGAATCCTCTCTCTCGACAAGCCCTAGGAGGCAGAACAGTCAAGATTTAGACCCTCTCGGCTCAGGATCAGGACCGTGACCCACACGGCCTTTGCGGTTCTGCATCTGCCCAAACAGACTTGGTCTCTGATGGAGAAAAAACTCCAGGTAGAGAGAGAGAGATACTGTACATGTTTTTCTAGAAAACGCAACCCGGAAGCACCCCATCAACACGAAAGGGAAGTCTCCTCTATCATTTTTTTTATCTCTTTCTCTCCCCGCCCTTCCTGCCTTTCAGTCTCTCCGGAAGCGGGGAAGCGCCGCGAGATGGGTTTTGGGGGCTCTCCAACTCTCGCGAGACGAGACTCCGAGCCGGGAATGGGGCGGGGCTTGAGGTGTCATGGCGGCCCCCATTCGCCGCCCATGAGTTTGGTGTTGGGGAAATCTTGGCGGCCGAGGCGGCTGTGGGTCCCGATCCTGGGAGGTAAAGGGCGGGGGGGGGCTCTTAGGCCAAGGCTCTCCCTCCCTCGGCAGACAACCCCCCCATTCCAGACTCCCTTAGCAGAGATGAGGGGGAGGGGCTGTTCTGGGATTAATTCCATGACTCCCCCCCCTTTCCAACAGTCCTTCTCCGGTTGCCTCTTTATCCGCGGGGGATGGGTTCCCCCAACCCGCCTCCCACGCGGATGCCGAAAAGCGCGGAAGCCTCGAACGCTATAGACATGACATAGTTTCTGGCGCCTTCTAGTGGCCATTTCTGGTAAATACACCCTGGAGAGACATAAATAGGCATTTCTGGGATTTTTTAAGTTAGTACTTCCAGGATGCCGAAAAGCGCGGAAGCCTCGAACGCTGTAGACGTGACATGGTTTCTGTCGCCTTCTAGTGGCCATTTCTGATAAATAAACCCTGGAGAGACATAAATAGGCAGTTCTGGTATTTTTTAAGTTAGTACTTCCAGGCAGCGGATAAGAGAATCAGCGGATACTGATCCCTCGGAGAGAGAGCAGATAAGAGAATCAGCGGATACTGATCCCGCGGAGAGAGGGGGTCCTACTTTATTGTTATTAGAATGCACCAGTATGGCTTTGAAACATCACTTCTTTTTGGGGAGGAGGACTACTGCACCCAGAGTCCCTTGGACAGCATGTCTGCTGAGCTGGCAGGGGGGATTCTGGGTTCTGTAGTCCACAAGAAGGCACACTGTAGAGCTCCTGAATGTGTGCGGATTCTGGGTTCTGTAGTCCACAAGAAGGTACACTGTCGAGCTCCTGAATGTATGCTGTGATCTCTGCCTCTGTGTGCGTGCGTATGTCTTGCATGGCAGGACATGAGAACAGAAATCTTGGTGCCATCTCAAATTCAAGAAAAGCAAACTCGGAGCTTTGGTGGGGTCGAAATTATTCCTTTTTTGACAACTAGGCACCAGATTTCTGTGTGGTTGTGCTCTCTGGAATTCCCCCCAGAAGTTCCCCCCTTATTTGTTTAAGCTTGTACCCCACCCGTTTAGTGGACAAGCCACTAACTGCTCCAGGCAGCTTCCAGAAAAACATAAAAAAATATGCGACATGCAGTATTAGTTATAGAAGACCTGAGTTCAGTTTGGGCATGGTTTTGCTTTGCTTAAAGTCTCCTTTCTCTGCAGAAACCTGACTCCCTCTTGGCTCGCACGCCCCTTTTTGCACGTTGGGATGCATAAAGCACGAATTGTTGGCCCTCTCGAGCTGTGTTTGGAACCAGGAGAAAGGTTTGCTTAAATACTGTCCGGGGGGGGTGCCACCTCGTAGGGGTGGGCCTTTGGAGGAGCCCTCTGAGACTTTTGAGATGGAGGCCGAACCCCCCCTCGGCGGTCAGCTGGTCTTGGGAGTCGATCCGCCAAGGGGCAGCGATGGGGCAGCCGAAGAGGATCCTGTACCTGCCACGAAGGTGCCCAGGCTTAATGGGGGCCAGGAAGGCGAGAGGGTGGTTGTGGAGAGCGTTCCTGGACCACCGTGCGCCGAAGACAAGGGCAAAGGGGACGCCGCCCCGCATTTTGAGAAGGGGGAAGAAGAAGGAAAGATGGAAGAAGACGCGGAGGGTGGAGAGGAAGCAGAAGGAGGAGAGTATTAGTGAGTACGGAGCTGGCCTTGCAGGCCATTAGATGAAACGTCAGCTCAGTTTGGTCAGAACAGGTGGGCCCGGAGCCCGATTCTGGCGATGGAGGCGGGATCTCACATTTCCATTTCTGGGTGTGGGGTGGGGACAAGCTACCTCAAAGGCTCTGCCTCCCATAATGAGCTTGCCTAGGTGTTAAGATGCTCAGGGGAGGCCTTTCTCTCAGTCCCATCATCCTCACAGGCACATTTGGTGGTGAGACACGGTAGAGGTGCCTTCTCTGTGGCTGCTCCTTTAGACTCTGGAACTCCCTGCCACTGGAGGCCAGCCTGGCCCCCTCTTTGCTCTCCTTCCGCAAGCAGATAAAAGACCTTTCTCTTCACGCAAGCCTTCTTTCAGTGACCTGAGTAAGATAAAAGACCTTTCTCTTCAGGCAAGCCTTCTGTCAGTGACCTGAGTGGGATCATTTCTGACTGCTATACATTTCTGCTTCGACTGTGTTTTTAGCATTGCTTGTATTTCCTATTTCTCACAGTAGTATTTGTTCCTTTTGAATAGTTCTAAACGTAAGCGTTTTCGGCGTTAAATCTTGCCTTTTTTTAATGACGTATGTCACTTTTGTATACTTGTTTCTGACTGCTATACATTTCTGCTTCGACAGTGTTTTTAGCATTGCTTGTATTTCCTGTTTCTCAGAGTAGTATTTGTTCCTTTTGAATACTTCTAAACGTGTTTTCAGCTTTAAATCTTGCCTTTTTTAAAATGATGTACTGTATACCACTTTTGTATACTTGCTGTTTTCTTCTTAAATATTGTCTTCCAATGATGTAAGCCGCCTTGGGTCCTTTTCTAAGAAAGGTGGAGTAAAAACAACTTGATGTAAATATTTGTGTAAACAGGGGTCATTTAGGCTCCTGAATAAGCACCAGTCTTGTCTGAAAACCCATGAAAGGTCCGTATTGGGGTGAGAGCCTGGGCTGGCGTAGAAATGGCCTTTTGCAACTGTGGGGCTGGTGAGAACAGAGTTAGCGAAAACGCCTCTGGCGTGACCTGGATTTCATTTACCTTCCAGCTTCCCCCCGTACGACTTCTCTCAGCCCCCGAAGCTTCTGACCGGCTCTTGGGAAGAATACAGTCGTGTTCCGGAGAACTTCCTGAAAGGCTGCAAATGGTGAGCGGTTGGAAACCCGTCTTGGATGGTGGAAAGGATGCCCAGCCCGAGAACCCTGACCCTGGTTCACGAGGCCTTGTTGCCTTGGGTGCCCCCTGATGAGGTGCTGCCCGAGGGATTTAACTGACTACATGAGAAGCAGAGGTTCTGGAGCGGCCCTTGGAGGCCACGCTTGTCGGGGTGGTGAGGAATGAATGGGGGAACCCAGAAGGTTCAGGGACGCCTTTGCAAAACACATCAGTCTTGAGAAGGTCCTTACAGAAGGAGTCTTGAGGGTGCCAAGGGTTCCCTCCGGCTCAGGGGCAGGAAGGTGAGCAGAAGGGAGAGGTGGGAAGCACAGAGGTAGCATCGGGACTCCTTGAAGGAGACCCCAAGAGCAGAATTTGGGAATGGAGGATCTGTGGGGTGGGGAGAAGAGGGTGATGGGACACGACCAGAGGGGAGAATCCTTGGGATGTTTCCATCATCCTTCTCTCCTTCAGGGCTCCGGACGGGACCTGTCTGCTCACCAACAGTGCCGACAACACCTTGCGCATTTACAACCTTCCTGCCGAGTTGTACGCGGAGGAGTGGGGGACGCTCGCTGAAATGGTAAGGAAAGGGGCCATTGGCAGGTTGGTGAATGTCTGTGAGACAGAGGGGAGAATCCTTGGGATGTTTCCATCATCCTTCTCTCCTTCAGGGCTCCGGACGGGACCTGTCTGCTCACCAACAGTGCCGACAACACCTTGCGCATTTACAACCTTCCTGCCGAGTTGTACGCGGAGGAGTGGGGGACGCTCGCTGAAATGGTAAGGAAAGGGGCCATTGGCAGGTTGGTGAATGTCTGTGAGAGAGAGAGAGAAAGGGGCCATTGGCAGGTTGGTGAATGTCCATGTGTGTGTGAGAGAGAGTCACAACCCCTGTTGACACCTTGCTGTGGAGTTAATTGGCTGCAAAGAGCTACTTCCGATTTGGAAATTCTCGGCCAATTCGTAGAGGTTTAGACTAACCAGAGTTAGCCCTCCCAGCTCAGCAATCGGAAACTGAAGCCCGTGGCTTCCTTGAGGGAGACTGTCCAGCTTCTATTTGGCCTTCCTCTTCTCTGGCTCTCCTCCGCTTTTCCCAGCAAAGAGAGGAGAGAGTTCATAAAATGTGTTGTCCTTTCAACCAGGGGTGGAAACCAGGCAGGTGACATGGGGCTAAACGAGGGCAGGAGGAGGAGCGAAAGATGGAAACCAAACAGGCTTCCAGGGTGGAAAGCTTCCCTAAAAAGCAAGTCATCATCTGAATGTTAGCGGAAGGGGGGGCCAAGCGTAGCTCCATCAGGAGCAGGTTCCTCAGCGCAGGAGCCGAGACAAAGAAGGCCTGTTCTCGTGTCGAGGACCTCCGGGCCTCCCTTGGGGTGGCTGGCCCAGAGAAGCTTGGTCTGGGAGGCTCTGGTGGGTTGGGGAGAGGACCGGGGTCCCAAACGGAGGCCGGAGCTGCCCCTTAGATCTCGCCCACCTCGTCTTCAAAGGGTTGACAACTCCCAGCTTCCGCCTGGCAGCCCTTCCCGGCCTGTCCTTTCCATGTGCTTTTGGGCGCCTGGCAGGGAAGGGCCATGTCCTCCCTGGGGTGTAGAGCAGAGGAGATTCTGCTCTGGATGACCCCCACAGCATCCTCTTTTCTGGGAAATGGGCACCTGCTTATAAGGGGCGTGGGGTCGGAAGACCGCAAGAACGGCCGGGTCGGAGTAGCAGAAGTTCTCTTTGGGCGAAGGCTGCAGCAAGCCTTTCCTGTTGCGCCCGCTCTTCCACGTATCGATATGCTTGGAGTGGAAATTACTTCTTTCTCTCGTTCCCTCCCCAGAGCCCTGTGCTACGCATGGCAGAAGGCGACACTATCTACGACTACTGTTGGTTCCCGCTGATGAATTCCTCCGACCCGCAGACTTGTTTGTAAATCCACCCGTCTCCCCTTGTCCTGCCTCCCATCTTTTCCCCCCAACCCCTATGCAATTGCATAGGAATGATAAGGGGCCGGAGTGGGAAATAATGGGACTTTTGCCCAAGCCAGTTTCTGCCTTAAAGGAGCAGAAAGGTCCGTGGCCTTCAGATCAGAACCGAGCCTCTGTCTAGACTGGGTGGGAGCCAGGGCTGTGGAGTTTGCTCTGTCGCTAAGGTGCTGAAATGAGTGTTGTGGGAGAGTTTGGATTTATAGTGGAAAGTCTCTGTTCCCCAACACAGCTAGGCTCCCCTTCCTCGGCCACCACTGCTCCTTACGGCCCTTCCTTCTTCGGTCTCCCTTTGCAGCGTGGCCAGCAGCAGCCGCGACAACCCTGTCCACATCTGGGACGCTTTCTGTGGAGACCTGCGGGCCACTTTCCGGCCCTACAACCACCTCGTGAGTACCTGCGTAGCTCTCGGACACTTCCCTGGACCAGATTTAGGTTTTCCCTGCTCCATATTGGTTTTATTATGTCGTTTTTTCTTTCTTTCTTTCCCCTGTCTAATCTTTCTCCCCAACTTAGGGCTGGCCGTACGATGTAAGGCCAGTGGTCGGTTGAAATTGCCACCAGTTACAAAGTGGGATTGTGGGAGCGGCTATGGGGGTGAGGTCTGAGGTCCAGTCATGGCAAAGGCAGCCGCCGTGTGGTGAAGGATGGCTGCACAGACACCCCTAGGGTCACTGAATTGTATCTTTTTAAAACAGGTAAAACAGAAACACAGAACGGCTTGTAATGTTGGGTTAAAAGCAGTTCCAAAAGCAAGTGGGTGGGGGGGAGGAGGAAAGGATAGCAACCACCTGTTAGAAATACCTTCCCCGGTCACCAATAAGCATCAGAATTTATGGACTCTAGTCTGTGCGAATTCCCTCAGCTAGACTTTTCTTAAATCCGATCCTGGCGTTTGTAATCACTTTCCATTGAGAAACCATACCTTCTCTCGGACATGGTAAAGGCAGAGGAAGTGGCTTGGTGGGTCTGAGTTCTGTGGGGCTGCAAGGCATGATGGGCTTGGTAGTTTCCTGAGCAGCACCCCGATAGGCCTCCTTCAGCCTCAAGAGACTAGGGTCACATGCTCTGTATTGAGGACTTGGAACAGCGTCTAGTGTGGCTGAGAAGGCCAATTCGAGAGTGACCATCCCTTCCACACTGAAGACAAATCCAATCTGTCCCCTGTCCAGCTCCCTGACTTTGCTGCTTTTGTGATTTCCTCTTGGCCTCGGCCTGCTGGACAAGGGTCTCCTCAAATTGGGAGAGGCCGTGATGCACCGCCTGCCTCCAGGCTGAACGCTCGGATGTCAGAGTTTCCCATCTGTTGAGGTCCATTTCTAAGGCCTTCAGATCTCACTTGGAGATATCCTTGTATCGCAGCTGTGGTTTCCTTCCGGGGCAATTTCCCTGCCCTCATTCTCCATACAGGAGATCTTTCGGAATCCGACCGTCACCCATTCTCATGACACCCTGTATGGAGCATAATAGTCAAGGAGACCGGCAGTGCCTTGTAGCTCACATGGAACGTAGCTCTGACTAGCGACGGCTTCCGTCTTCCTCATGTCTGAGAGAAGCGATGATTTCTCACAGTAACTGAAAGCCGTTGTGGGCAGGTGAAAGGGGCTGGCAGAATTCCTGCAGCCATCTGGGGTTGGTAGCCCATGACTTCCAGAAATCTCATGCCCAGTAACCAAAAGTCAGTGTTGAAGAAACCTCTGCGGCTGGGAATCGGCTGTGCGGCCGTCATCCCCTCTCTTCCGGATTTATTCTCTGCCCTTCAGGATGAGCTGACTGCAGCCCACTCTCTGTGCTTCACCCCGGACGGCACTCAGCTTTTCTGTGGTTTCGACAAGACCGTGAGAGTGTTTGAAACGTCGCGGCCCGGGCGGATGTGTGAGAACCGGCCAACCTTTGGTGAGCTGCCTCGGGTTGCGTTTCCTCCTTGCCGGGCTTTGAGAGGAAGAGGAGGCTAAAGCTTTGGCTTCCACCCTTGCAGCCCCAGTCATGTCACGCCAGCCATTGGGGTGGGGGTGGGGACGAGTGTTTCCTGGACGTCCTCTGGAAGAGGTCCGGGCAGCTTGGCAACGAGTCTCCCGTCACTTGGCAGGGGGCAGAAGTATCTGCAGTGCAAACAGAGCCGCGATGAATAATTAAAATATTTTAATAGGAAGATCTTTGTACTTTCCCCCACCTTCTCTTCAAGGGCAAGCTTTTCGGTAGCGGCTTCCGCATTGCCGATCTCTTGTCTGTAAATATTCAGACCGTTTAAACTAAAGAGGACGTGGCGTGCTTTAATTTTAAATATCGCCTTCCCAGATTTTGAAAGCAGCTTATAAACTGTTACTGGTTGTGTCTTAAAGACCAATTAAGAGGGAAAAGTCTCATTTTTTTCCGACATGGTCCACGAGCGGCGATGATGGAAATCAGTCCTACGATGGTCACATCCCCACTTGCTTTTTTTGAGGACAAGAAGGTAGTAGCTGTGTTTTTTTTTCACAGCTAGACCAACAAAGAATGCTGTATCACCGTAAAGATGAGTAAGGTCGCCAGCCCAGTGGGTCTGATTTTGGGAGCTAAGCAGGGCTTGGCCTGGATCCTCCTCAGCTGGCTCATCACAGGGGAAACTGAGGCAAAGAATCCTAGAATCCTGCCATGGGAAGGGGGCCTCTAAGGCCATCAAGTCCCACCCCCATACTCAAGGCAGGCATCTCAAAGTCAAAGCAGATCTGACAGACGGCTGTCCAGTTTTCTCTCGAAGGCCTCCGGTGTTGGAGCGCTCACCACCTCCCCTGAGGTCATAGGTTCCATTGTCATACTTCTCTAACAGTTAGGAAGTTTTTCCTGCTATTCAGTCTTAATCTGGTTTCCTGCAGCTTGACCCCATGATGGCGGAAGTTTTTCCTGCTATTCAGCCTCAATCTGGTTTCCTGCAGCTTGAGCCCATGGTTGTGTGTCCTGCAGTGTGGGATGATCGAGAACAGATCCTGCCCCTCTTCTCTAGGACAGCCTTTCAGTCCTTTGAAGAGTGTTGTCCTATTATCTCCCCTCCACCTTCTTTTCTCAAAGCTAAACAGGCCCAGTTCTTTTCTTCCTCCCAGGGCTTGACTTCCAGCCCCTCTCAAAGCTAAACAGGCCCAGTTCTTTCCATCTTTATTCCCAGGGCTTGGCTTCCAGCCTCCGATCCTTCTCATTGCCTTCCTCTGAGCTTGCGCCTCCTTCGTAAGGCAACAATTACAAGTCTTTGAAAAGTGTTGTTGTGAATCCCAGATGTTGCCCTGGGTCTCCCAGTTGGAGTGCCTACGAGTGAAAACTAGGGGGACCCAGAACAGGGCCTTTCAAGACCTCAGGAAAGGGAATTTCTTGAATTGCGCTTAAGCTTTTGTGGGCTGCAACTTGCGTCAACCTATCTCCAGCCCTCCCTTGGGGGAAAAAAAGCTGGTATTTTGGGAAAGTGGCCTACAATGTTCCGTCTGCCTTCTCTGGGAGACCTTTTGGTCACGGGGAAACGGTTGCAGGTAGCATGGTGGGAGAAAGCCCCTTGTCTCTCTCCCCCCTCAACCTCATTCCCCCTCTTGCCCTTTTTCCCAGCCAAGAAACGGGGACAGAGCGGCATCATTTCGTGCATCGCCTTCAGCCCCACGCAGCCGCTGTACGCCTGCACCTCCTACTTGAAGACGGTGGGCCTCTACTCCCGGGCGGAGGGCAACCCCCTGGCCTTACTGCAGGGGCACCGGGGGGGCGTCACCCACGCGCTCTTCTCCCCTGATGGCTTCCACCTTTTTACGGGCGGTCGGAAGGTAAGGCGTGCAGGAGAGACGGAGAAAGAGGCAGGGCAGGGAGAGCCAGCGATGGGTTTCCCCCACCTCCAGCACTGTCTCTCCGGCTTGCGCAGAATTCCCTGCAACCAGCGGCACCTTTTTCTGCCATAAAAGGGGGGACTATCTTGCACAAGGCAAAATGCATATGGTGTGTTAGTGAGAACCGCCTTGTGCAAGATTATCCCTCTTTTTTATGGCAGAAAAACCTGCCACTGGTTGCAGGATGTAGCTGGTTGCATTTTATTTATTTATTTGGCGCCGTCCACCCACCCTTCTCCGCTCGCGGCATGTGGGCATTGCTTCTCCACCTGAAAGAAGGCGAAGGAAATTCTGCACAAGCCGGAGAGACCTTGCTGCAGGTAGGGGAGGGAGATGGCTCTTCCCAGTCTTGGGGGAGGAATCTGGCAGGACTCCTTGTCCTGTCTTGTCCTGTCAAAACCACCGGAGTTGGTGAGAAAGGACGAGACTCGCAAACATTCTTTCCACCCCCGTGCCGCGAAGCATCGATGCATCCTTCTGCTTTGCCTTCTGCTCTGGGTAAAGCATGGACTTACCCGGCGACAGCCTGTCCTGGGACCGGCTGGGAAAGACGGGGCAGCGTGAAGGCTCCCCGTGGTTTTCGGGTCTGGGGAAACCCACTCTTTTATTTACACTTCTCAATAAAAAGTCTTGCAGAGGGTCCAGCCTGGGTGGCGTCGGGCGAGCGGATGAGTCCCAGAATCTCTGCCGAAGCAGGGAATAATAAATCCGTTCCATGCGCTCTGTCCCTAGAAAACTCGGCAAAAGAGTGGCGGTAGGACAGACCCGACTCGACAGCACTGCGCTGTCTCAAATGATGGGGGCGCAGAATAGAGAAACCAGCTGCAGGTTCTGAACGCTGACGTTATCTTTGGTGTGTGTTTTGCTGGCAGGATGCAGAGATTCTCTGCTGGGACCTTCGGCAGCCGGACAGGGTTCTCTTCTCCGCTTGCCGGACCGTGGCCACCAACCAGCGGCTGTACTTTGACCTAGATCCGTGAGTGCGGAGACCCTCGTCTCCCCCTCCCCCCCCACACTCCGGGTGTTTTTCCAAAGGCTGCCCTATGCCGTGAGGGCTTGCCCAAAACCTGCCACCTGCTGCAGGATCGTTCCCCTTTTTATGGGACGAAAACGTGCCAACTCTTGCAGGCCTTTCCTCCCCCGCCCCCCCCCGTCCCCCAGTAATCCACGTGATGGTGTCTGTAAGGTGTGTGTAAGTCAGGGTAGAGCTCCCGGAATGGGGAAGGATGGGATAAGTGGTTGGAGAAACCTGAAAATCCCAGCCTGGTTAAAAGCTTTTACACCCAGATCTTATGACTCTTTGGGGAGTCTCAGGGGGGAAGGAAACAAGGACCACCCGTTGGATGGAGATGGGAGAAGCATCCCGGGAGGATGAACTTGGCCTATGAAATGGGGAGGTTCTTTCGGGGTCTCCGGAGTGCCCGCTGGAGCTCTCCGTGGCAGGCGCCCCTCTCCTTCCGGCTTGGGGGGACCGTCGGCAGCCAGCCCTCTCGCTCTTCTCCTCCATATAGAAGCGGGACTTTTTTGGTGAGCGGGAGCACCGAAGGGCTGGTCACCGTCTGGGACACCACCCGGCCCCCGAGCAGCGGCCCTCGGTCCGTGCTTCCGCCCGTCTTGCAGTTCCAGGCTCTGCAGGACTGCGTCAACGGGATCAGGTAACGTTATCCGGGTCTGGGCCGTTCTCTGCTGGGGGCTGGAGAAAGAAGACACTGGGTGGGCTCCTGAACCCTGAGGGTCTTGCACCTGAGGCTTGGAGGATGGGGAAGGGGGGCAATCGCTCCTGACGTCCCGCCCAACTAGCCCACGGGGAGGGGGGGGCAATCCGGAAGTCCAGCGAAACGCAAGTCATCTGACACGGAAGTGTGCAGATTTGCGATATTTTTACTACAGTTCCCAGTATCCCCCCAGACAAGAGCAAGTCTGATATTTCTAACCCAAAGCAAAGCAGTTCCTCTTGTGGAGAAAGGGAGCCTCTCACCCTTTTGCGCCTCCAGCAGGAGGCTGCGGTTCGCCCAGGATAACGTCACAGTGAGGGGAGGGTGCAACCTTTCCAATCTCCCTAGGCAGCCGGTCCCATCCTTCTTCCCCAGCGTAGCCAAGAGTGGAGGATCATGGGGACTGTAGTCACATCACAGGCCTCTCTGCCCACGTCTCCTTAACGCTCTGCTGTGTAGCTGCTGCTGCCAGAGAATCGGAGAAGTCACCTTTCTGGAGGGAAAACTGCCAGAATGGAAGGCTGGGAGGTGTCGGAGGTCTCTGGCTGCGGGAACCCAAGATCGGGAGTTTGATTCCCCCGCGGAGCCGCCTGGGCCAGGCCTGGACCCAATCATCCGCAGGGTCCCTCTGCCGTTCTAACCTGATTAGAAGGGCCCTGTCCCACGTAGCCACGTGGGCAGGCCGGTGGAGTGGAAGGGAGGCCACAGACTAGGCTTTGGGCAGTTGGGTCCCAGCGCCTTCCCTGTCTGACCGGCTGCCCCTTTCTGCTCAGCCTCCACCCCAGCGTGCCCCTGATGGCCACGGCTTCCGGCCAGCGCAAATTCCCTGGCCTGTGGGACAGCGGCAGCGAGGAAGAGGAGGAGGAAGAAGGGGACCTCCCGTCCGATCGCCGTGCGACCCGCGGCGACAACAGTCTCCAGCTATGGTGGGCTTCCTTCTCGGCGGCCGGAAGCGAGCAGCCCGAGGCCCTTCCCTGAGGTGTCCTCTCCCGCCTGGGAGCCGAGCCCTTCCTCGGTCCTGTTAGGTGACCCAAAGCCCCCCCCGGCAGGAAAATTGTCCTTTTGTGGCGGATGTGTGAAGGGCTGGTCTCCCCGACACACTGCAAGTCTTTGCGAGGGTGGATGCCAGCATGCGTGCCTTCATATCACGACGCTGGGTGGATAATGTGAAGCTTGTCCCAAAGCCGAGGGGTGTGTGTGTTGGCCTGGAACGACAACCAAAAAGCGGTGTGTTCGTGAGAAGCGACGCTTTGGGGTGGGGAACGCTCTTTTGGGGCGCCCTATTGGGCAGTGGGGTGCGAGTGGTGCCTCTTTGACAGGAGCCGGCGGCGGCTGCGACCAACGGCGGGAAAGGTTTGGTGGTGGAGGAGGCACCAGCAACAGATTGCCGTCTCTCTTTGCTTCTTTTTCTCCCATCCCTCGGGCAGCTGGCACCACATTCCTGCTCCAAATTCCAAATTCTTTGCTGTCTTCCACCAGGAGAGGATAGTGCTCTGTAGCCCAAGCATCCTCCCCATTGATCTCCATGCCACACGACCCCCGGGCTGGAAGAAGCGGGAGCTATATTTGGGAGCAAAGAAGTATATACAGTATTTGTGTGTGTGGGTTTTTTTCATTTGGAATATTTTACCCTGACATGCTGTATGTGTCTTAGAGGGGACCCTAAAGGAGGAGAAGTGATTCCCCCCCCAGTTGTTTTTTTTAAAACTGTTTTCTCTCCTCTCTTGTGTAAATAGACACCCTGTTCTTCTCCCTTGCCAACGGGTTGGCCAAAGGGAAATAATCCTTTTTTTTTTCTCTGTGTGTTTTCTTACTGGCCTATTTTCAGAGGACAAAAATACATCATTTTAAATAGACACCCTGTTCTTCTCCCTTGCCAGATAGGGTTAGGGTTGGAGGCCAACGGGTTGGCCAAAGGGAAATAATCGTGTTTTTGTTTTGTTTTGTTTGGGGTTTTTTTTTTCTCTCTGTTTTCTTACTGGCCTATTTTCAGGGGACAAAAATACATCGTCTCGCCTTGTAATAGATGTTTAATAAAAGTTTGCTATGTTGTCTTAGGGTTTTTCTGGGTCTTTCTCTCTCAAATTGCAATCCAGACTTTGCAGAAAAGTTTCTGGAGGGTGGAGCAGAAGGGGGGGTTGTGGAGGGATTTTCCTGTCTTGAGGGGGCGAGTGTTCCCTAGGAAATGGGTCACACGCCCACCCCTTACAGGCAGGATCTTACCTCCTTGAGAACCAAGAATTTGGTTCAATGGAACGATCAAGTATAGAGCAATATGTTAAGACTCTGGGCCTATTTGGAATCCATGTGCCCCCGTGTATCTTAAAAGGCCGATCAACACCTCTTTTCCCCAACACCTGTCCAGTCCCCGGCAGGATGGAGGAAAATGAACCACATACAGTGGGCTTGTCCCAAAAGTTGCCACTGGACGCCAACAAACCCCGTTGCTGTTTCCCCTTCAGCAAAAGTAACTTGAGAGACAGAATACAGGAGTAGGCGATCTCTTTATAGACGACGAAAGCCGGCTGGATAGCTCAGTGGTTTAGGTCTCTGGCTACGGAGCCAGAGGTTGGGAGTTTGATTCCCCCACTGGGCCTCCCAAGAGGAGAGCCAGCCTGTGGTAGCCTTGGTCAAAAGCTGCACGGGGGGTCCCAGGGATCTCCCCCTAGAAGAAAGGAAGGAGAAACTAGTTGGGAATCCGATTCCCCCACTGGGCCTCCCGGGGATCTCTCCCCCCAGAAGAAAGGAAGGAGAAACTACTGAATATTCTCTACCTAGGAAACCCTCGAAAAGGTCGCCAGAAGCCAAAATTGACGGAACATGATTGTATGATTTCTTCAACAACAACAACAACAACAAAACACAAGCTGCTAGCTCTCATGGATTAGGATGGCTACCTCGCCAGGGTTGCTCCAGTGTCTTGTCATTTTTTTACACCATGCCCGAAGCCCCATGGCCTCCGTTCAGTGTTTTTAATCCCTAAGTCTTTTTTTTTTCAACGAGAACACCCATTTATTTCTCTCTCTGGTGGTCCATGGTATCTGTGAAGCTCTTCTCCAGCACCGTACAGTATTTCAAATTAATTATTTTTTTTTCTTCTCTGATTTTTTTTTCATTGACCATACGCAGCACCGGATGATGCCATGATCTTGCTTTTGATCTCCCACAGCTCATCCTTAGTCTTAACAAATCTTTTCCAAGCAGTACCTATTAAAATAAGTCGTAAACCTCAAATAGCACAAATCCATTCAGTTTTAAAAGCTCAGCCGCCCTCCCAAAAGGGGAGGGCAATAAATAGACAGAGGGTAGTATCTAAAATTCAACCGATTACATCCGAGGAGAAGAATTCCAGAACTTTAGCGGAGCTAACCAAGAAAGCTTTTTTTCCCCTTTGTTCCAAACTGCTGCTCTTGTGTCATTGGGAACCTGGAGGAGATGCTGAGAGGTGAGTAGATTCAAAGGAGATCAGAAAACCCTTTTTTAAGCTATCAACCTGGTATTGTACCACCTGTAAGCAGAGGACGCTCTTTGGTGGCCTTTATCAGCTGATCAACAGGAAAAGAAACCAAAAGCAGTAATGAATGAAGGAATACGTACATGAATGAAACGAACGAATTTTGACAAAGGCATTTGGCACCTTAAAAGACAAAACCACTGTATTTTTAATGTGAGCGTTCCTGGAACGAGCCCACGCTTTCAGACAGAAAAGTGAAAACCCAGAGGCTACGTGGCGAAATAACGCGTAGAAAGCTTGTTGATGTTGCACAGAGAAGAGATGGAGCGAGAAAGCTCTTTGTTCTGAGTCCCTGCGCGCAGCATCACCGTGGGAGATCGTAATTTTCCTTAAACCCACCTGCAAAAAACCACACACACAACAACCCACCCACAGCTGATAGATTATCTCCTATCTGTAGGTAACGTGGGTTCAAGCCTGCTAGTAAAAGACTGGCTTTATATACCGGGTATCCCCGAAAATAAGACAGGGTCTTAAATTAATTTTTTGCTCCAAAAATGCATTAGGGCTTATTTTCAGGGGATGTTTTATTTTTGTCATGTACAAAATCTACATTGATTCACATGCAGTCCTGTCCTCTTCTTCTGGTTGCTGCACAAGGGCGGAGGGCAGGGGTTTCTCTTAAATGGGGCTTATTTTCGAGGTAGGGCTTATATGATGAGCATCCTGAAAAATCCTACTAGGGCCTATTTTCACGTTGGGTCTTATTTTCAGGGAAACTGTATATATTTATTTATTTATTTTGATGGAGAGGAGAGGAGGTGCCCTCCCTTTCCATCATTTACCTTCCTGATCCCGAGTCCCCTCCGTGGTGGTATAAATAGTCACCGTTCGGGGAGTGGGGGGGGGCGCAAAGTGGATTCTTGCACGGAGAGGCGGTTGCCTGGCAACTGTGTAAACTGAACGGGTCCCAACAAGCGAGCGAGCGTGGCCGTGCCGGCGCATCGCAATATTTTCCCCCTTGCATTTGCTGGAGTGTTAGAAATGCTCCGTATGGGCCTCGCCGCCCAGCCGCGCACACTCGCGCATGCAAAGACACAAAGGCTGGAATAACCAAACAGGCCCAAAAGAAATAAAAATGGAGGGGGTGTACAGTGAGGTTAGGAAAAACCCTTTTGTCTTGGATCGGATTGGCTTCTCCCTCGCCCCGGGGACCTGGCCTCCTGGTGCCACGATGGCACCCCAATCTTTGGCTTCGGTAGCCGGGCATTGCCGCGTTCTCCGTTCCCGGCATTGGCCGACTCCGACCCCCTTTGGAGGGGAAGGCTTTGCGCGATGTGGCCAACTTGCCTCTGAGCATGGCAAGAGGCCTTTCTGGAGGAACCCGAGCCAGCCTTGTTCACATCCCATTTGAAGGGAAAAGGGGGTCCAAGAAAATCTGTACTTCTTTTTCAGAAACCCTAGGAGGATGGGCGAAACCATCTTTAAAACCCACACGCACCCTGTACGATTTCCTCCTTAGAGGTTCGGGGTCCACTTTGCTTCCTTTTTTTAGCCCCACAACAGCCTTGTGAGGTAGCTTAAGGGGCGAGAGACGGTGACTGGCCCCGAGAGCCCACAATCTACCCCACAGCTAAATACGAACCTACGTTTTCTCCCCCTTTATTACTGTCATTGGCCAGGCAACAGAAATCGCACGGAAAAAATGGAGGGTATGACGGGAAAGGCGCCGTGAGCCATTTTAGGTGGAAAGGGGGAGCAAAATAATGTCATCTTTGCCGACTTTCTTCCTTGGCCATCTTCTGACCCACAGCTCCTCCGAGAGGCCGCCCGGCGTGATTTGGGCAGACGGCCGCCCCAGAAGGCCGTGGTAGCCCAAGCTTTTGTGCTGCCTGAGGCAAAAAAAAAACCCAAACCCTCATACATCCTCTCTGGTTCCATGATCGAAAGCCACTTGGGTTAGAAAACACAAAAGTTTCCGTAACAGTGGTGAATCCGTCACCACCATCCTGAAGGGAGCAGGCTGGCTTAAATGTCAGAGGGACATACGCTTGCCCTTGTCAAGGGCGTATGGCCGCCTCTCGACATTTTCCGCCCGAGGCAGCTGCCTCGCGCCACCTTGCGGTTGGGCCGGCCCTGCTTCTTCTTCTTGCAAGCCAGCTCTTTTCACGGCTCAGGAGGACCCAAATTATGAGGGATGGCAAGGTTGGGGACGGACATGCCCGAGCTGGAGGGGGGGTTCACACCGTTCCTCAGCTGGTCCTCCCAATCTGGAGGACCAGTTGCTTCTCTTGGCCGGCTCGGGACGCGTCTTTCTCCCGGCCGTCCCTTGCAGAGAACGTGAACGCGGGCCTTGCCTCGGCTTGTTCCTCTGCCATTCTCATTATCACACCTTCTTCAGTCTATCCAGCTCCGGGGATGTTCTCTCCCCACTGGCGAGCAGAGGATAGATGAGATGAGTTATGGGGCAGAGAAGCCAAGGTACGATTCTTCTCCCGGAAAAGAGGGGCAGCGGGAGTTGTTGCAAAAACGATCCATTCGAACACCTTGGTAGGCCAGTTCCAGTGATCTGGAAGGTGGGAGGAAGAGGGAGCACACCCGCCCAGCCCTTAGAAGGACTTTTTAAATTACTGTATTTATTTGTTCTGCAGAAGAAGGAGCACACGTGGGTTAAGGCCCGAACACGGTCTCTTGGAGTTTAAAGACGTGCGTTCACATTTATATATACCCTGCTAGTCACGTATCACTGACCTTATCGGCGGGATTTCCATAGGGAAGGGGTGACGCATTGCTTCCCCCATTAGGATTTCAGCCCTCATAAGAGGGATTCAGTCAGAAAGTGCGAAAAGAGAAAGGATGCACTTCCTGATGAAAGTGGCAAGCTTTCCTTTTTAAATGCAGGGATTTTTCAAGGGCTCCCCCCCCCCATGCTTCGTTGAGGCCAGTGCCTCAGCAGGACACCAAGATTTAGACAGCATTAAAAACTAGAACTGAGTCTGTTGGTGAATGTTAGGAAAATGAATGTCAACCTTTCTTAGCTCAACTTCCTTCCTTCCTTCCTTCATTCCATTTTCCATCTTCCTTCCTTCCTTCCTTCCTTCCTTCCATCCTTCCTTCCTTCCTTCCTTCCTTCCTTGCTTGCTTGCTTGCTTGCTTGCTTGCTTGCTTGCTTGCAAAGATAAACTTTCTTCTTTGGGAAGTTGGAGGTGGGAAACACCCCATTCACCTCCTTCGTTTCCTTGTCAGGAGGGGTTCATGCACACGGTTCACGGTGAATTGGGGGGGGCAGTGCTGCTTGTCCTGGGTACCAAAATGGCCAGTTTTTGTATAGAGTGCCATTCTGGGTTTCTTTAGAGAGATGGAAGACAGGCAGACAGAGCAAAT